TTTACCGAATTCACAGATTATAATCTGGAAAATTAAATTTTGCTAGACTCTTATTTTCCTCCAGTTATATGGGCAAGTGCATCAAATAATAATAATCCAGAGACAAAAAATGGCGTAGAAAGTTTTCATCGTCATTACAATAGTCAATTTTCTCGCTACATCCAAACACCTACCTAGTTTTAGACGCAATATTACAAATTCAACTAGAATCAGAGATCAAATTTAAAATTTAAAATTAATAAAATAACATGACAAATTTAATTTAAATCAGCAAAAAAAGACATTTTTAATTACACCCGTTGTATATACAAACAGTCTTAAGCCTGTAAAGTGAGAAGAAAAACGTTTGAAAACAATCTTACAATGCAAATAAACATTATTTTTGTAAGTTCTTTCGAGTTTTAGTAGAATTTTGCTATAGTTTATGTACGCAAACGAGTCCTACGTTTGAGTAATTTATCGTAAGTAATAAAAATTCGTGTGCGCGATTAAGCGGTAGTTTGTAAATTTGTACGCAAGCAAATTGAAAAAAAGGTTAGATTTACGGAAAAGGGTATCACCCAGATTTAAGGATGCGATCAGTGAGGGATGTGGAGTGGCAAGGATGATAAGAGCAGTCATTATTATGAATTTAATTTTTTTATTGTAATTTGAATATCTATTGTATCATAGTTTACCAAGGTGTATTATGTCATTTATTATATATATGTACTTCATTTAAATTAAGTTTCAATGTTTAATTGTGAAGTATAGTCTTAAAGACTAAAAAATACTTAATAAATTGTGATTTATAGTGAACCCTGAACCAATCAATTTGATGGTGTTAAATAAATTACACAAATTTCACAGTTAATTTCTACATTTATTAAAAAGCCAGACTTATTTGTAGTCTACAAATTTGGTATTTTTTTTATCATGAATTTTTATATTATTAGTGTATTGACTTCTATTGTTCAATATTTTCTGTAAAATCAATTTCTTTATTTTTATTAAATAATTACTATTACCACAAAAACCTTTAGAATTATTATTATCTATTATTAGGGTGTCCTTTATATAATTTTTTCGTTATTCCGTTCATTATAATATGTATTTTAACTTATTCGTATCCATTCAATGAACTATCACGTGCAGATTGACAAATGTGCATGCAATAAATCGCGACAGTTGAAACATGTGTCCAAACGTCACGTACAATGCTAAGTCTTACGGTTTGTATTTTTGTAATATTCCAACATTAATACAATATAAATTATACAGTGAAAAAAAAAAAACTTTTTAGACAATTTTTTTTTCTTCTTTCCCCTCCCCTAAGGTATCCCTCCTTGTACGTTTTGTGCATCATATGTGTACGTACATTGTGTTTTAGAACTATGGTATAAAGTACATTATGTTTCGATGAAACGAGCTACGATGTTCTCGTTCATCATAAGTAAAATTTAAATTGGTGTGGTGTGCATGTTTTATGGAATGTTTAATGTGTATTTATATTGATGCGAAGTAAAAAAACAATTCTTATTATCCATTTTGTCTACTGCTAATCATCGTGTACAGCGTTTGTGAGTTGAAAAAATGGTATGTAATAAGTACAATTAACTTATAAAATAATAAAAAGATAATTGAAAAAAAAAAACATTTATTTCTGAACATTTGAACAATTTCTTGATTTTAAATTTATTAAGTACCTAATATATATTTATGAACATATCTTTAGTTACATTCATTGTTATTTTGTGATTAATTTTAGTTATTTTCTTTATTATCAGTTAGGTTATCTTAATAAATTAAGTGTTCTGTGTAGGTATCTTATGAAATATTGAAGTGAATCAATTTTAGTTACTTTTTTTTTTTACATTAAAGCTATGTCATTTGTCTTGCTATGTTTTTAATATCGTATTATGATTAGATGTTATAATAATGGTATAATTCAGTGACTATAAATCTACCGTGAGATGGACCGAGCTCAACTTTTTGACACAACACGTCAGATGACATTATTATGAGCCCGGCTTATTTGTCATTTGTTGTGGTTTAAGGTATATGGTATATGGTGTGTTCACGCTAGAAGGTACCACAATTATTTTAGCTGGATAACTTTGAGTTGAATTGGGGATTTTGGAAGTTAAAAGAGGGTACCAAAATATACACATTTTGGAAAAATAGTAACCTTTTAATCATATAATACACAACTTATTACTTTTAATTCCAACGCCAATTTTTTTCTACATTTTCAAATAAACTATACTTTTGTAAAAAAAAGTTATTTTTCTTATTTTAAAATTAATCACTAAAAGTAGATTAAAATTTACGCATAATCTATTTATTAAAATTTAAATATAGTACTCTTTATATTTTAGATATTTTTAATATTGCTAAATGGTTACATTTTGGTATACAGAAAAGACGTAAATAAACAATTACATTTATCAAATAACAAAATTGAACAAAATGAATTTATAATGTGTTAATTTTTATAATTTAAATTATCTTAAGAGGATATCTGATGTATACACCCACATATATGTTGATTAATCTATCGGCAAAACTAATTTCGATTTGTTTAGTATCAACATTGATTTGACTTATTATCAAATTTAAAAGTAAAAATTTTATCTTGGACATATCGTAGATGCTTATTGATATTTTAATTGTATTCATGAATATTATTAATTTATGTTTTGGTTTTAAATTTAAAAATAAGTTTATATTAGTAACTCGTTATTTATATGGATTACAAAACGTAAATAATGATAATCCAGTAGAGGAATAATCAATAAACATTGATAGTTTTTTTACATATATTTAAAATTTCAATTTACTAAATTTTTCAATTTCTTAAAACTGTTGATCGAATTTATCACAAAAATAAGTGTTAAAAGTTAATTTTATTTTTAAAAACGTAGAAAAGTCAATAATAGGTAATAAGTTTATTGAAAAAAATGTTGTACTAATCCTATTAAAAGGTATTAATTTCTTTATTTATATTGAGTATATTAATAGTAATTAATAATGGATTTAAATTATTGATTAAATGTTAAATTTAAAAAAAAAACAAATTATTAAATAACTTAATACCCATTTATTTTTTATTTTATCGAGTACTGGATTATTTACTTACTAAGAGTTAAAGAATAATATAATTTAATGTTATTTGTAATTATTTATTTACTATCGATAAACATTGAGACACTTAAAGTAAAATTTTTGAAAAATGATTTTCAATTAATTTTTTAAAAGGAGTTTAAAAGTTTTGTTTTTATTGAAATGTAATGCAGACCACAGTTGGCTAGCTGTTATTAAAACAATAATTAATTTTCACATTTTGTACTTCAAGTTTCATTACATTGGTCTTATAATGGACAAAAATTCTTTGATAAAATTATAAATAATAAGTAATAACATTTAAAACATGATTTAGGTTATTTATTATAAATTAATTTAACATTCAAAGTAAATTTTAAACAATTTTATTCTACAGCTTTATATCACTTTGGAAATAAATACATTTTTAAATGGGTGTAAAGTAATCACTAATCTCATAGACGTGCACAGACTTCTGAGCCAGGTGTGGCTGAATTCAATTTGACTGCTTTATTAGTTATTACTTTTTTAGGTACCAAGTCACCCACTTATAAAAAAGTGCTCAAATTGGGCTAAAGTCCAATCGTTCCTACCTGTGCACACGCCTATGACTTAGCTTGTTTAATATTTATAATTATATGCTTTTGAGTAAATATTGTATACTTTGTCACTTTAAAATTTTAAAAGGCCTTAATAATAAGTATTCTAGATTTTATTCCAGCGAATCTTACGGTGATATAAAATTTAGATAAATTTCTTGTGCACTTATCTAATTTACCAGAAGGCTTAAATACTAAATACGAAATTCAATTGTGCGTATAATTTTGAAGTATATTAAGTGTAGTACTGTTTTATGAATTTGAAAAACTATGATACACAATAATTGTTTTGTGAAACTAAATATTTTTATAATAGATGCCTATGTTACGTAATTTATGTATCAGATAACACGAATATTATACATAAACGTTTCGTTCAATTGTCAGATTACAACTGTTTCTAAAATAAAAAGAACACGAGTTTGTTCAAACTATTCCTACAGTCAACAAACAATAACATGAAAAAACAAAAATTTATAATATAATAAAATGTTTTTAAAGCTTAAAATATTGTAGCAAACTGTCTATATAATTGAATAATGCTATAGTTTACAAACTAAAATATAATTAAATTAATAAATTTGTAACGATGTTAGATACATTATGATGTATTTAAGCCAAATTTCAGAATGGCTATAAAACGTTGGTTTAAATAACCAATTAGATATATAACCAGTGGTATCTATTCTAAAATATGTGTGTGTTTTGAGAATATTTCTGAAGATTTACCTGCTTTAACAATACTTAAATATAATTAGGAAATGCAATAATACAATTTTACGTATTAAAGAAATTTCTTCGTAAAACCAGTAATCGACAATATCATTTTTTTTTTTTTACTTTAATGAATAACTAACTGTTAAAACTTTAAATGTCCACCGAATATTCATATTAGAAATATTACTGGAGGTGATAAAATTTTCAAAATATTTCGACTATTATTGTGCTATTTATAGATATTTTTTATTAAATTTAAAAATTATTTATATTAATGAAAGACGATATTTATGCATGTAAGTGATCTACATCAAAGTCTATCATATTTATGATTCTGAAATATGGCATAAAATAGTAATCCTATTGTCTATGATATTCATATCAAACTAATTGAATTTTAAAGAAAGGCTCATGCAGCGATTTGTTGGCTCACGAAAAGCGAATATTTTTTTTTATTTGTATAAGATTAAAATAATTGATAATTTTAAACCTGTGTTTAAAATTTGATTAAAATCATTAAGATGAATGTGTTAAAAACAAGTGTAGTTTAAATTTAAAGGAATTTAAGAAGAGATAAATCCACGGTCATTTAATTTGTCATGGTCAACGCTGTGTAGGATCAGCTATCTATTTTATCATTAAATATAAGTTAGTTGATTAGTGATACAAGAAGTTAGTGATACAAACACTAACGTATTCATTCAGAAATAAAATTAATGCATAAACAGTAAAGTTAACACATGATTAAAATCTACTCACTTTCATCAAGTTTAATCATAATTTGTTTATAGTAACAGTAAATGCTGTATTTATTTAGTATGATACTTTTAGTATATTGAATGTATTACAAAATATTAGATTATTTTATAATTATTTTTGAAACAACATATCAAACTATTAAGACTATAAAGACAGTATATTTTAATGGTAAATGAAATAAATAATTACGAAGTATCATAACGATGCTGACTTTTTCTAGTGTTATCATTCAATAAAGCTTGATGGCTTATTTTCCAATTAAATCATAAACATTTCACTATATAATTAAGACCTGATACTGTATTTTTAAACATTAAGTTGCTATTAAAATAAAATAAAATGTTTTTTATAAATTATTTCCATTATAATAATATTGAATTATCGTTATTATTCATTAGTGATCATAATGTTGGACTATATACCTATACAAGAAATATAACGAGTAAATTAAGTGATGTTACACTTATTATACATCTTTTATTTGTAACACTGTATTGTATTTACTTTAAAGTCGATAATTAATTGGTAATACTTAATCAATTATAATATACATTGTTTTTAGCTGTATTAAATGCACTCATGTAACACGTAAACACAAATATAAAATAGGAAAATAAAAATAGAACCCACTGAAGATTGACTTCATTAAATTTCTTCAAAATGTATCGATAAATTTTTCATCTCAGAAAACTATATCGATTATTACTCTTTTTAATCATAAATACTATTTAACAAGTGATAATTATTATTTATTATCAAATAGATTACCGAAGAATTACTTTTTTCATTTGAAGCACTTCGTATGATCTGAAAGTTAAAAATAAATGTAACAGCATCTTTGTAAAATTAATTGTTAATTGTTAATCCAGTGTATAGCTATGTTTCTTTTAGGTTCAGAGCGAATCAAGAAATATATTGGTTTAACAATTATGTATATTTTTCTTTATCTGTCACATTTTTGTTACCAACAGAAGTATTTCTCAATCCAAAACTTTTAAGAGTGGTTTCTCGTAGAAAATTTAATTAATCGCAATTCATTAAAAACATAATTTTTTGATAATATCATTTTTTTTTTTTTTTAATCTAAAAATAAATAATTGTAGATTTTAATTTTCTAGAAAATATTTTATTTTAGTATTTTGTAAACCAGAAATTATTTTTAAAAAGTGTTTTGTTATTCTTATGCTCTTTATAGACATTTTAAAATTTGGCTTACACATGAAAAGTTTTTATTTAAAATTAAAAATGCTTGAAAACTAATGAAGAAACCTTATACAAATTATTCTTACACAAAATTAAAAATATTAAAAATACATTGTCATCATTTTTTTTTTTTTAAGTGTTTACAATTCAAATTTATGAATATCAAGAAAATTTAGAAATTGTTTTGCAGTAAAAAATTTATAAAATTGAAAATTTTATAAGTAAGGTTTGATAATTTAAACAATTATTCACAGTATTTATGTTTTTTTTTTTTTTTTTTTTCAGACATTTTAAGTTAAATTTTGACAGAATCGATGAAAAATTACGATTTTAGTTATATTATGTAATTTAAAAAATAATATTCATTGGTACTGAAATCGTTTGTATGCCATTGTGTTTATTGTAATCGAATTAAATGCACAACTAAATTGTTTTGAAAAATTCATATTAGTTTTAAGATGTTATATCTCGGGCCTTTTCTATATTCATAATTTATATCATTATGTGAAACTTACAATAGCTTATAACTTATAAGTAAATAACACTTAATATTTGATTATATGAAACAATATTATGATACTTTTGATATAATTTATTCGATACTATGTAATTAATAGAAAAACAAATTACATATACAGTAAAAATATAATCTTTCCTTTTACGATTTCAATTATTTTATTCTAATTCCATAGATATTAATCGTAAGAAATTAAAACTTTTCACAATTTCGTCTATTTTTTTTTTTATTAACATAACTTTTATTAAGTACATTTATATTTTTTAAAATATTTAAATTAATTTTAAATTATTTATTTCATAATCTTTTTACAAATTTTTACAGCATATTGTTATAGAAATCAAAGTCTAATAATATATTAAATTATATAATAATGATTAATAACAGGAACTAATTACTGTAAATTTATAATAATATAAATTTTAAATTTTAAAATATCTATAGAAGTATAAAAGTAATCCACTATTTACTCTTAATGATTAGGAATTTTTTTCATACGCAATTTTTAAATTAATTTAAATTTAACACAATCATTACAGTGTCAGCAAACTACTTAATTATGATATACATTAAAATTTACTAAATTTACAAAAAGGAGAACAAATTCCTCGTTTATTTTTATTTGATCATCATTTCTTTATTCGTATCACTTGTTTTAAACGTGATTTATACACAAATCATATCAAAAATACATTTTTTATTATGTGTAATAATAAACTATTATGTTCATTCATCGTATGTCTACTATCCTATTAAAAATAAATAACAATCAAAGTATAAATACATTTTAGATTCAGAGTGGAATAATGAATATATTTATTTCACAGTAAATATTTTAATTTTTTTTTTAGTGTATGAGTACATTTTAAATTATTGATAAAATGTTTTAATTTTTAACTTTAAAGGTGATTATGTATACAAATTCATTATAGACCTAGTTTGTACTTAAAAAAGGTTAAAATTAAAACTTCTCAGTAATTTTTTTTTTAATTGGAAAAAACAAACAAAAAAATTAAAGAAAAACGGGAATTTTCATATTAAACCACATTTTGACTAAATTAATTTCTTTATTATTTGTTATAATTCTAAGATGAATAACCACAGAAATTTTAAATTTTCATCAAATGTTTATATTATTAACTCTATTGTGTGATAGAATTTTTATAATTTTTAATTAGTTTTAAGCTACCTATTTATAAGTATTTCAAATTTTCCATTTTTTTCTTTTAAATTTATAATATTCATATCTTATTGATCTTCTTTATACTAACATTTTCATATTAGACATTACTCATTAGTCATTACCTATTAATGATTTGTCTATATTTTAAGATTAATTTTTTACAAAGGACACTAAAATAGTTATAGCAAAATCAATATTAATTTTTAACGTATTCATTATTTAATATATTTTGTTTTTTTGATCAAAGACAACCATAAATTATCTAATCTGGATAAACCTATCCAGATCAAGTCATAAGGACTAAAGTTATTTTGGATTCTCTGAAAATCATTATTAAGTTCCACGTAGTAAGTTATATATAAAAATTTATATAGTTACATGGAATCATCATTGGATCAAACATGTTATAAACAAATCTTACTAGACAAGATAATATAAAGTTGATAATAAATTGCATTGTGTCCAATTTTAACACAGTTATATTAAATAGTGCCTACTATAGCTATTATTAAAAATTTGATTTAAATATTTAATGAAAATAAGTATTTGTGTTTCAACATAACAATATTATGAAATATAAAATTAAATCAGAATATTTTAAAAACGTTTCTCATTAAATATTCTATGTTTATTCTTCATTATTAGATACTACATCGAATATTTATTAACACGTTGACTGCCACAAGCCCGCCGGCGACCCAAGTGATGTCTTTGATTGTGAAGCTATTTGGGTCGCCGGCGACCTAAATCCTATTATTAATGTGACGCCACTTGGGTCGCCGGCTGCCAAATTTAACATCAACATTAAATGTATCTAATTCTTTACGGCTTGGAGAGAACAATATTTAGATTGGACCATGGCGTAGACAAGACGATTTTGATCATTTTTAAAAAAAAAAACAATAAAATCTGTCAACTTTAATACATTTTTATTTTATACAAAAAAATGTAATATTTGAATATATAAATGCATAGTAAATAGTAGTATAAAACGTTAAAATAAAATTTTAAAAAATAAAGATGTACCCTAGAGAAATTGATAAAAAAAAAATTCACTTTAAAATTATTTAAAAATAAAAATATATAAGTACAAAACTGTAACAAAATTGTATTCATCATACATTCTGTTTTTTTAAATGGTCTTGAAAACATTGTATGCAAACCGATGGTTTTGATGGGCAAAGACTGCAAAAGGTTGTTACTTTCTTAGCCTTGTTTAAAGCTTCCCTAAAATAATAAATTAAAAATCAAAAATTCATATTAATTTTAAAAAATTTAATTTAAACTCACTTGTATCCTAGTTCTTTCGAAAATTTTGTATAGCATTCAATACACCTTTTTCTTTTTTTTCTGTTTCTTGAACATTTTTCTTCTGTCTCCTCGAGTTTATGTTTTATTATTTGTCGTCTTTGAAATCTATTTTCAAGAGGTTGTTCAGAATTTGAAACACGTAAAGATGTAGGTTTTAATTCAAGGAGTTTATCTACAAGCACTTCACGAAATTTATGTATGGTGAGTTTATTTCGAAAATGTTGTTCATTATACATAATTTGAGAATTTACAACAAATGTATTTAAAATTATCTCAGTTGCTACCTTGTGATACCACCGAACACTCTTTCTCATAGGAGTGCAGTATGATGCTAACTGATCCGATAAATCTATGCCTGCTTTTCCAGCATTATAGAATAATATGCTGTCTGGTTTAAATATATCTTCATGGTTCCTATTTTTCTTCCCAGTGTTTGTCATATTTAATTGATGTCGCGTTGAAAGTAAGTGAATGTCGCGTTTATCTTTAAATTTAGATACTACTATACCAGAATCGTTTTCCAGGCCGACAATTTCCCCTTTTTTCAATTTTTTTTCTATCACTGTTTTTGGTAAAAAACGTCTATTTTTTCTAAGAGTTCCAACCAAATGAGTGTTTTGCCTTAAAAGTGTTTCCGCTAGTGGAACAGATGTATAAAAATTATCAGTGACAATAGTACGCCCTTCGTTCAGATAATTTTCACACAAAGAAGTTACTATTGTTTCACTCAACGCTTCTCCGGGTTTCGACTGTTTTCCTTCGTATATAATAATTTTATACGTATAACCATTAGTCCCACATACTTTGAAAAATTTTACGCCATATTTATGTGTTTTATTTGGGATATACTGCCGAAATTTCAGTCTGCCTCGAAAAGGTATCATAGATTCATCCACCGCAATTATTTCTCCAGGTTTCTGTATATTTTTTACTAATTCGTTTGCCATATTAAGTATTTTCCTTACTTTGTATAAGCGATCGGCTTTGTCAGCAGTCTCATTGTCCTCAAAATGCCAAAACCTAAGAATGAGCTCAAATTTATTCCGACTCATTGTTTTTGGTGCAACACCATTTTTATAACGTTCAGCTTTGCTCCAATAATCAGCTATCGAAGTCATTTTTACGAGTCCCATCCACATCAAAAGTCCCATAAATTTTTCCATATCATTATGGTTTATTGGTTGCCAAAATGAAAATCTACTACCACGTGTAATTTGTTGAGTATTTAAAAATTGTTGAGCGTTTCTATTTGTTTCAATGACCATTAACTCAATTATTTCGTCGGTACAAAATAATTTAAAATAATCCATAGGTCCCATATCCTCGTCTAAAATGACTAATGGCCCTGAATTTCCCATAAAGTTAAAAATTTTTTGATTCGTACCTGTTACAGTTTTCCAATTTGATTGGCTATTGTTAGGTGTTGATAAAATTAGATCTTCAATTTGATTCTCATCAATCTCATCATCTGACGACTCTTGAGAATCACTATTATGTTCACTTTCAACACAATATATTGGATCACTATCACTATCGTCAAAACTGTCACTAGAAAAATTGTCAGCATCGTCTAATGCATTATTAATCATGCGTTCATCCATTATGATATTATATAAACAATTTTTACGTAAAATAAAGTAAAAATAATAATAAAATTCAGAACTTGATACCACGAGATGTTCACACTTCTTGTTCAAGGTGAATATTAAAAGATAATTGACGTATTGACAAATGTGTAATAAATAAATATTATTATTATCTTAACCAATAAAAACAAATTATCGTATGTAAATCTAGCACGAGACAGCGGGCGACCCAAGTGGCTTGTACGAAATATTACATTTTTGGCAGGCCACTTGCCAGCCGGCGACCCAAGACTTTTCTTTTTTTCATGATATTATCTACAATTAACTGATTCTAAAAATATCAATATTATTAAAATCCAACAACTGGATCTATTTTTATAAATGTATACATTTACGACATACGATGTAAAAATAGTATGGCCTGACACGCGCTGATACGACTTGGGTCGCCGGCGGGCTTGTGGCAGTCAACGTGTTAATATTATGATTAGTATACAAGTACGAATAATATATTAACAAATACTGTTCTTGCGTGTATTAGTTATTGGTTACGGATTTGGAATTAATGATATTATAATATAATTATAAAATAGCTAACATTAAAATATCTATTTTTTTTATATAGAAATTTGATGAAAAAAATTTCAAATAAACAAGACTTTATAGAGCTAGAAGAAAAATAAAAAAAATCATCAAATGCTTTTCATTTAAGCTAAAATTGAAAATTATACATTTTATATATCACAAATGTGTGGCACCGTGTTTTCCTGTTTTATCAAATAACATTTACAGGAAAACGTGTTGTAGCCTGTAGGCTGTAGGTAGTTATAGTGTTTATATTTTTAGTAATTTAAGTTGTCGGTGTGATGATAATTATATAATAGTTCAGCCAAACAAATATTAGAGAGATAGAATTTTTTATCCTTCTATAACAGTAAATTAGATTTACATATGAATGTATGATTAAACATAATTACAAATTGTGTTTATTTTATGATAATGAGTTTAAATTAATTTTTAATTAGTCAATAAATCACTCAATATTATAAATAATATTGAAAATACTTACACATGATATTTTTGTTGCTATATTTAATAAAAAAATATCAATGTAATAATATTTTAATTTGTAAATGTATCAAATCTATGAAGAATTACACTTTTTATTTGGATTTAAAGTTTTATTATTTTGGTTGTTTTATGACCTTACACTAACACTCTTATTATTATTCTAACACTAATTTAAGGTTATATACTCGTATCTACTATTTAATTTTTTTAACACATTTTATACTCACTTTTTATTAAAGAAAGAATAATTTAATTTTTTTTCTTGTAAAATTTTTGAAGTAAACTATTCAATAGTTCTCAAAGTATGATTATATGTATATAATAGTAAAGTTGCTTTGTGAACTCTATTATTTTCCATATATTTTGATAACAAAACTAAAAAAATTTAATGGAAATTTAAGATTGTTGATATGTACCTATTACCTATTGATGTATAATATTATTTTTGGCGTTTAAAAGTTTATGAATTTATCGTTTCTTTTTATGTTTTTTGTTTAATGTATATTATAAATATTATGATCAGAGCTTGTCGATTTTCACACCCAAAATTTAAATTACATAAATACAATACACATTATAATCATTATAAATCGTTGTCAATTACCGATTATCGTTATTTATCGTAGTGTCTAACTTTAGGTTGCCTACTCTCGTAACAATGACACGTTTTGACCCTTTATTATATGTGTTGATTACATAAAATACGACGTGTACCTACACATAACGATATGGTGCAGACGTGTCGAAGGGAGTTGAGAGACGACCGTCTGCAAGTTTTTTTATTTTATTTGTTGTACTCAATTACTAGAGTTTATGGTAACGTTTAAACATGAAATGAAGCAGGGGTGAGTTGAAGTAGAGGAATCGAAGTATAGTAATTTGATCGTTGGATGCGGATTGTCGGTTAAAGAAGTTTGGTACTGGTATAAGAAGTTTATCTTATCACCGTCACTTGCTTTAGTATATACGTTACATTTAGGTACCGCTTTAATAATATATTTTGGGTATACAGCAGAATTATTGCCGTAGGTAGTATTTAAATCGAAACGGTTGCACTAGTGTTTGGTAATAAATTGTGAATAGGATATTCTCTGGAGGGTGTGGAAGACTCCCTTTCCGCTGTACGTTAAAAGAGGAAACACACAATGACCATTGTATATGTATATATAAATACATTTTTTTTTATGTAAATTTTCACGATGCAATTATTTTTGCACACACCACTGGGGCGTCAAATACGCATTTTTTAGTTCATACGAAATTCTTGTACTGTAAAAAGAATAAAAAAAAATCGAATACACGAGGTAGCTAAGCAGTGAAAGCCTATATAACAATATAATAATAATAATAATAATAATAATAATAACAATAATAACAATAATAATAATAATAATAATAATAGCAATATTCTCGGAAAAGTGGATTGACACCCCTACACGCACACGTATACTATAAACATATAATAGTGAAGCAGTTGAAAACTACTGTTTTAAGTGGCCCTGACCTATCTTTTACAAAGGAATGACAATAATCAGACTATTTTAATTAATTTCAAATTCTGTTCGTTTTCACTTTAATATAATCATAAATCAACAACATTTAATAATAATTGTTGTTATAACATTCCTACTGTATTTACTATTAAATTATCACAGTTTACAAAAAGTTGGTGTTAATTACAATATAAAATCTAGATAATAAAATAAAAAAAATATATTTGAATAAAATTAGCTTATCTTATTGTTTTATATATTATCTAGATCTTTATTTCTTTCTTCGCGTTATTTTGATAGATGATAATGATATATTGATATGCGATCTCGTATAAACAAATTTATCTGGTCAATTATGATAGTAATGATAATACTTGATAAAAAATAATAAAAAAATACTGTGTAAAAAATTATTTATTTTAAATTCGCACTGTTCAAGTAATGTGGTGGAGTTAAAACCACTTTTTTTAAAAAAAAATAATGATTTAAACTCTTTTTGTATTATAATTATCTTAGACATTTATTTAAGTTAAATAAACAATATTAATGTGTTTGACTTTAATCGTTTTAAACGGTGCAATGAACACGGTCACTTTAACCATATATGTATTTGAGTATCGATAGTATTTTTGAAATTCACATTAAGTTTTGTAAGTGATGGATAATATATAATATAAACAATAATCATCTTCCCTGTAAAAAAAGAAAAAAAACTTCGAAGTGAGACGTATAAAATTAAATTAAAAATAAACGTTAATAAAGTTATAAAAAATTAAATATAATATGCTTGGTATACAACTCTCAACTTAATCTCTTAATCTAATCGGGTTTTATTATATACAGATTGATCAGGTTTACAGTGAAGGGACGGGGGAGGATTAAAAAGCAATTGTTTGGGGGTCAAATTTATTTCATTGCATAACCTGCTGATGATGAAGTCTGCGCACGTCTGTTGCTATCTTTACGTATACTGTTATTATTTATGTAAAACGTCTGCACCCACCTAACCTAAGTGGCGAAGGGACGGTCAAGAGGCGGCCGTCTAAGGATTTTTAGAGCGAACAGTGGGGTAACGGTCAACGGATAATAATTATTATTATTATTATAGTCTTAACCAGTACCTCGGTGTTCGGTAAATGGCAAGTAACTCTATTGAGATTTGTGCGGTTGGGCGATCTGAGGGGGGGGGAAGGAGACATCAGACTGAATTACTGAATTATTACTGTCCCTGAGAAATGTCAAGTTCGACAACGCCAATGCGCGCATCACGTTGAAACACATAAGTACGTTACACACACACACACACACACACACACATGTTTATACACAAGTCGTATCGGTCGTGGCTGAAAAATACACTGGTTCGTCCTCAACCGGGTTCTGCGCATGTGCGCTACGTCACGCTGTCTGCTCGTTAGCGTCGTCCGCCGCGAAACTCAGACAGGATTACGTCACGATCAAACGGCCGTCGTCGGCATGATCAAAATAATAGAGTAGAGGAGAAAAAACAATCGTGCCCGCGCCGATCGCGTACGATTTTTAAATCTTGTTTTCGCCGGAGCGGAGGTCGCAGCGCGGCGTTGTACTTGGCCATGGACGTAATTTAGTGCACAACGTTACACATTACCGCAATAGCATAACAATATCATATAATTATTATCATAACCGTAGACGTACATAATTATTATTATTTGTGTGAGCGCGCGCTGGAAAGGCGGCGGCGACGGCGGTCGGCGGGCCGGACACGACAGCGGCGGCGGCGGCCGGACGGGAAAACACCAGTAACGGTCTGTCGGCTGCCGCGTGAACGTCCCCGGCTTTATGATACGACGTGTGTGCCCGTCGTACTACCGCCACCGCACCGTCATGAATACGCGACGGCTGTCGTCGTCACCGCCGCCGCCGCCGCCTCCACCATCACTACCACCACCGCCGCCACCGTCGCCACCACCGCCGCCGACGCTGCGATACCGCCGACACTGCCGCGGCCGCCGCCGATGCGGCACGCACTTGGTTAACGGGCGTAGAACTTTCGAGACCGATCGCCAGAAAATAATATCTTTTTCTTGCGCACACACACACACACACACACACACACACACATAAAATACACGCGTGTGAATAATACAGTACATGTACGTAAACGCCATGTGTGTGTATAATATTATGTATAATATATACGTGTTGTATAAATATAAATCAGTTTATATGGCGGTGTGAGACACGACGACAATATACAATTTACATATTACATTAAAAAATAATCTTTACGACAGTATGATATTATTATTATTATTATTATTATTTAATAATTTTATACGTTCCGTGCCTTACACACGTAATAATATAATAATAATTGTTATTATTTTGTTAATAAAAAACCGTCATCGTTTACAAAATCTGACCTTTGAGCCGTCATGTTGAATTTGTATTGTCGCGAGTACACGCGTCACTGTATGGATTAGAACACCATAAACGTTTTTTATTATACTCCGATACGGTTTGTGCACGTTACAAATACTAATAATAAAATGTACGGTGTTTTTTTATGTTGCAGGACGCGCCATTGAATTTCGGTCGAAAACGGTGGACGGAACGATAATCCCAAGACCTTTGATGCGTCGGAAGATGCCGAATGTGGCGGTCGTCGCCGTTGCCGTCGCCGCTCTGTTGCTGGTCACCGCGGAAACGGTGCTGACGGCCGGCGGCGGCGGCGGCGGTGGTGGCGGCGGTGGACGACAACGCGGCGCGGCCACCGCCGCCGCCGACCGTCAGCAGGACATCGACAGCGGCGACGACGAGTCCTTGCGGACGCCGGCCGCCGTCCAGTGCGCCAATTGTTTGGGCCACGAGGGAATCAAGTCGCTGAGCATCGAACTGATCAAAGCGTCGATACTGAACAAGCTGGGCATGCAGCGGCCACCGGAGTTCGGCGGCCGGTTGCCGCCTCGGGTTCCCACCGATCTGCCGCCGCTGCAGGATCTCATGCGCAGGTACAACAACGACCACGGCAGCTCGGTGGTGGTGTTCCCGCGCATCCGGCACAAGTCGCATCACTTTGACGACAGCGTCACCGACATGCAGAGCGACGAAGCGACCGGTTACTCGACCACCGCCGCGGCCGCCGCGTCCGCGGAAAACGCCAACAGCTACAACGTCGGCAACATGGACGTCGACGACGACGACTATCACGTCAAGACGCACAAGCTCATAGCGTTCGCTCAGCCGCGTAAGTACCGCTCGAATTGGTCTGCGCCTTTGCCCGCAATGATTCTCAACCTTTATTTATTTTTTTTAAAGACATCATGCTACCCCCACGTCGATTCAGACGTTCGATTATTTCGAGACGGTTAAATTTATTCTTCACATACTTGTACGTGCACCGTACATGATGTACGGTACATCGCACGGGTTACGCCATATGTGTTGGTCAGCTGATGTCCTTGAATAATTAGTTGGCGATCTCCCAGGAGGTAACTCCTGCGACCCCCTAGGTCGATAATAATCGCTTGTCTATGCGATAACACTACGAGATTGAAAAATATCATCCCGCCCTGCTTTCACCTATCGTCGAATGAAACTGAAAACGATCCAAATCCGTCATCGACCGACCGTAAATAACAACGAAGTACTGTTCCCGTCGGAGGTCTTAAGATTTTCATCAGTAATGCTATTCTTTAATCACATTGTGAAGTTCCTCGACTCTCGAATTATGTATCGCGCATCTTTAATGTGTATACCACGTGGTGTATGGGATGAGATCATATTATGCGGAACACGGAACACAAATCCACAGTTGTTTTACCGCGAAATATTTCGTATTGTATGTGAGAATATATATATATATATATATATTATGTATTCTATTGACATACAACGTCTTGATTTTTTAATCGATATCGATATTACTCATTTACCCGTTTTATGCTCATCATAAGAAACAAGAACATTAAAGATTAATTTTTAAAGATATTTTTAAAATTAACTTAGATAATTGGTTACTTTTTTTTAGAAGTAATTTCTAACATATCAAGCTATATTGTGCTCATGTAGTATCTTATGAGTTAATTAATTTTATTATCACGTTTAGTTAATTTTTTCGTAATATAAGCTGCATAAATTTAAAATTTTATTTGGTTTGGAAATTTTTCTTAAAAAAATAAAATTATTATACGTGCCCTGAATAAAGGTCTACTGAATTGTACCGTTGAAGTGACTCGCGCTATTTCTGGGTTCTATAATAATGATACAAATAACTTATAGATAATAAATAAATAATTTATTGGTTTATAATGTATACTGTACAATAGTAAATAGGTAATAAATAATAATTAATAATAATAATATAATTACAAATCGAAGGGTTTTTAATAACAAATAAAATCACTTTTTCAAGAATTATTGTGTGGAATAAAATTACATACATTTAGGTACAACTACCAGTTAAATCGATACAAATATTAGTATGTTTTAAAATGGAATTAGATTTATTTTTTTATTATTTTTGGTGCAAAAATTAGAAAAATCCGGATTTACGATAACTCATTTAAAACTTAAAATACTATTTTGGTACTATTCATAAGTATTTAAAAATTTAAAAATTTTTAGTAAATTTAATTTAAATACTTTTAGTATATCCTTGAAAAACAGTATGTTGGGTGCAACAACCACATAATTCCATAGAGTCCATAACTCTGAACTACTTTTATCTAACGATAAAATAAAGTTAACTAAATTTTAAGGCCGTGGTGTTATTTGTCATCATGTTGATAATTAGAAATGTTAGTTGTAATAATTTTACATAAAAATAAAATGTGTTTTATTAGCTCTGAACTATTTCAAAATGTGGATTTATCTGGTTGTTGTTCTAAGGCTTTTAATTCACAGAATAATAGAATATAATATATTTGGAAAATGGATATTAAACAAAACAGTTAAAAATTAAAGCCGTTATAGGGGTAACCGTTTTTCAGAAAATATAAATATAGCTAATTTAGTGTTTACCTAATATCTCATACCCGCTTGTATACTTATTCATTAATAATTATTAATTAATAACTAGTTATTATATTTTTTTGATTACAAAATAAAAAATAATTCGTGTGTAAGGTATAAGTATAAGTGTATAACTATTAAGACTTTAAGATTTTATTATATTAACATTTAAGTCCTAAAACTTAACGATGTTGGGTAAATAATCACAGTCTAAGTTTTTGATGATAATTAAAATATAAACACAGAAAAGCTTAGTTAATTTTACTTTTAATATTGATATAATACTTTCTCCTAACATAGTAAAATAAAAATAGGTAATCGAATATTTTATTCTTATTATTAATTGATTAATTATTAAACACGTTATATGTAATACCTAAGTTATGTCATAATAACTAATTTAACTATTATGATTTGTAAAAAATTTAAAATGTTTGACCATCACTTCAAAAAAAGTATACAGCTGACTATTAGGTAGAATAATACATAAGTATAATTTAATTATTTGAATGGACTTACGATCTCTGTCTTATATACATATAACATGGTAAATTTGCGTTCAGTAGAACCCATTACTTACGTGTTTTTATTTTAAATATTAGAGTGAATTTAGTTATCATCAAAGTTTAAAGTTAAAATATTATTAATGTAGTAGCATTGGATTTTTTTCAATATTTTAATTTTTAAGCAAAATATAAGTATGTAAAGTAATATAAATTGAAAATGCTCATATCTTATTTAAAAATTGAAATATTAAAAAAAAATACAATGCTACCACACTGATAATGTTCTAACTTTTTACTTTGATAATAGGTTAACTTACTTTAATGTCAAAGCTAACAGCACATAATGGATTTTACCGAATGAAAATTTGTCGGTACATCCGAATTGCATGCTAAAAAAATAAACATAAAATGGAATGTCAAAGTTGCATGTCACCTCATAGAGGGGTCTATATTCGAATTGCATGCCACCTCATAAAGGGGTCTATCCGAATTGCATGGCCTGTATAATTTTACTAAATAAAATAATATAACTTACTTTTCCACTGAAGAAACGGGCTTTTGTTTCATTACAATAAAATATATACATATTAAAGAAAGTAACACTGTGAAGAATATTAACGAATAAATAAAACGATTGTAGTTTAGGGTAATCAAGTGAATGAATTTTACATTTTTACATGATATTTCAAGTAAATAATACGATTTTAAAAAGTGGTTGTTTTCTTTTGACATTGGGGGTATAGAATATCATAATTTCAACGTAACATATATTTTATAATAATATTATATTAATAATAATTATATTGTCTATGTTGTCATATTCTATGTCATGTGCCTATTAAACATTTTGAAAAGTATTATTTTATTTATTTTGTTGTCATACGAAATTTTCTACATATTATATAATTTTATTAAGTTGTACACATTAATGCATGATAAATAAACTTGCGGGTACAGGGTATGCAATTTGGACTTTGTTTTTGATATGAAATTTGGATGCAATCGCTATGTTATATGTACATAAGATAACATATACGGGTGTGGCGTCCGCTTAACGTATGGAAAGTACCGTCAGGAATTAATTTTAACATATATATACTTATTTTTAAATTGTACGACCAGTTATTATATTACTATGATATGTTATTTGTTAAGCATTAAAAAAATATAATTCTAAATTTTATTTAAAAAAAGAAGTAATTGATTTTAACCTTTTTAAGTTATTTTTTTTTTTTAGTTGACTAGTTACTCTTACAAGTCAAAGAAAAAAGAAAAGTAATTTTTAATTTTAAACTTAACTTACATTATTAACTTAAATTACTTTAAAAAAATAGTGCTCAGCCTTGATATTTTGTTTAATATTCAATTATGATTTATAGGAATAGAAAACGTCTTATTATTATCTCATAGTGTTTGGTAATTGTATTAAACATACGAGAAATCATTGTTAGTACAACTGATGTGAAAATTTATGAATATTTTTTAATCTATTAAGTTAACGATTGGTTATTATTAATGAATACTTTACACGAATCGTTATTAAATGTGAAATACTATTTAATAAATTTAGTTTATTAGTATCATCATATAATTATTAGTAAATCATAAGTTAAACCGTAGAAGTCTTGATAATACTTCAAGAGGTGAAGGAAAAGAAAATTTAGTTGCACGACACAAAAAAATATATAAAAAAATTGTTTTCATCCTCTTACTAAAGACTATCCAAGTGTATAGTTGTGTTTTTATTGGTGTTATATTGTTTTAAAACTTACCATAATTATGGTTAATGATTGTCATAAGTTATTATTTTTAATTTTCACATGTTAAAGGAATAATTACTAAAGTACTGACGAGGTGAACACCCACATAGCCACGTTATTGTACGGTAATAAGATCAAACAAAATATTACAGTCAGTAATTACCAGTCTAGTATAATTTTGATACATTAATATTTTTAAATAATTTTGACAAAGCATTTTGTTATATTAATAAAGATTTAAGTGGTTTATAAATTTATAATTTTATTAGTTTTGATTAATATTTATAAACGTAAGTTTACGTGCTTTATTAATTTAACGATTTAATTTATAAAAATAATTAAACACACTATAAAGAGATTAAAGTTCTTATTTTAGTATTTCCAAAGTTATAATAATACATTTTACACTTATTTAATAATTTTATATAACTTATGTATATTTCAAATACCAGTTCAAAATCCAATATGATATTATTTTTTTATGAGGAATAATATTTAAACTATTGTTTTTTTTATAACTATTTGAACATAATAAAATTATGAAAAATAAGCTAATACTAATGAATTTTAAAATTAATTAATTTTCCACGTACTAATAATAAGTACACCTTTAAAATTATAGCACGATATAATACAATTATTAAATCTAATATTCTGATCTAACAATAAAATAAAATTACATGTAAAAATAAAATAAAAATTTACTTCATGTATTATGATTAAATTAATATGCACCATACATTATAATTTATAGCTCATTGTTGGCGAAACAAAATGTAGAATTGTTGGTCGTTATGTATTATACTCCGTATTCGTTTATTATCTATACGGGTGGAGGAGGTCGTACGTGTAATTGACTGCACGCTTAACTCTATTTAGGTACCTACCTTGGTAATTTCACAGCACGTGCAACAAATTCATAAGTACCTCTAATATGTCTGTGTTCTGTCAGGCTATTAATACGTTAA